ATTACTACGTTCCCAGTTGTAATGCCGAAAAATGTTCAAAAAACGGTGTTAACTAGCTAAAAAATGTCATTTAAGGCCCATTTTGTGGGCTGCTAATAGGCATTTAATAGACACCGTTTCAACGTTCCGGGAATGATCAAGCACTGCTTCAATGCATAATAAGAATAGTGAAGCAATGCACAAATAGAAAATAGTGTTTATCGAGCAATGCTTTAACTTAAAAGAAAAGAGGTCAAGCTGCTGTAAAAACAGGAAAACACGGTGAAGCAATGCAGTGAAAGATGAAGACTATAGTCAAGCAGTGTTGAAAACAATTGAGTATTAAGTTAAAGATAGTTCCGTGGGCGTATTCACGCTTTTTTATTAATAATGCGACACGTTAAAAATCAATATTTTTGAAGTTATGCTATAGTCTTAAAAGGCGTTCCATTACAAGATAATAATTTATATACTAATCGCTAAATAGGATTGTTTCAAATTTAGCGCTAGAAGTAAGTGCAACTGAATATACTCGCGTTCATTTTTTCATTGTAGGCGCGTGAACTGTTGAAAGTGTTAAATGTTATTGATAACCCAGATGTTTCAAAGAAAAACGTATGATATTGATCTTTATACGAAGCTGTATTTGTGATCTTAATTCAATGGTTTCATTGTAGGATATTTGTGTAGCAGCAGCAGCTATTGTTAGCACGGATTTTCAATTTAAAGTTGGACAAGTTTTTCAAAGTTTTCTCTCGTGTAAAGAGCACTTAAACATATATTGTGAAAATTCTGGTACCATGTTTTTCATGCGAGATTCGAAAAAATTGGCATATGAATCCGATTTAATATATGAAAAAGCTGTGTTTGCTTGTGTCCACAGTGGACAACCACGAGTACGTGGAGCTGGTCGTCGTCCTGATCAACATTATTTAGCATTAGGATGCCCGGCAAAAATTCGTTTATTAAATAAAAATAGCGTATTGAAAATCACAGTTTTGGAACTCAATCACAATCATGAAATAAGTAAAAGCTTACAAAAATTTTATCCGAAAAATCGTCAGTTTGATTTAAAATCGAAAGAAAAGATCATCGAATTAGACAAACATCAAGTACCACGTGGTATTATTAGAAATATTATGTTGGGAGATAATAATGGGAAATTTTGTACTGTTAAAGATATAACAAATGTTTTAACAAAAATGAAACCACCATCAACACAAAAAGAAAATATTTTAGTTCAAAAAGCATTAGAAGATATCAAAGTAATAGATCCAGATGCAACAGTCATAGTGAGAACGGATGAACAAAATCAAGTTGAATCAATATTGATTGCAACGAGTGGAATGAAAGAAAATTTCAAAAAATTTGGACAAATGATATTTTTGGATTCGACGTACAAGATTAATGTTGAAAACTTTTCGTTATATTGTTTTCTAATTCAAGATAGTTTAAGTAAGACTGTAAACTATTTAAAGAAAATCAAAAACGTTTTTGCTCACGTGCGTGTTTTTGATAACAAGAAAAGGAAGAAAATAGCGCAGTAAAGCTGCCCAGAATGTCATATGTGATCTCAGTATGAGGTCAAAAGTTCTCATTCTATTCTTTAACTTAGTTTGAGTTTTAATAAAAAAATGTTTTTTATACTGCTTTTAAGAGGAATGTTAGAGCGCTGCTTTAATATATGATCATAGCAGCATTAATAGAGCAGACTGTTATATAACAGTGATATCAAGCGCTGCTGTTTAAGCTAAAAATAAAATGAAGCAATGCAGTGAAAGGTGGCAAATGTTGTCAAGCAATGCTCTAAACGAGTTAGTCCAACAGTGCAGTAATAGATGAGATTCTTCAATGCTCGAATATACTTCTTCTATTCACTAGTGCCCACTTTTTATTTTAGGTTTTGGACAACCAGTGGCAATAAGTTTTTTGTCACACGAATCTAAATATCATATGAGACAATTATTAACAACGTTCCAAGATTTATACAAAAATTCGACTGAAATCAAAACATTTATGGTGGACAAAGATTTTATTCAAATGAATTTGTTAATTAATATATTTCCAACATCTCGTGTTTTGTTGTGCTATTTTCACGTCGTAAAGAAATGGCGAGAAGTTATCGCTCGTTTGCCAATAACCGTCGATGAAAAAAAATTGATATTAAGAGCAGCAAAACGAGTTCTGTATTCAATTGATGAAGCAACGCACGAATGTAACATTGAACAGTTAAAAAATGTTAGTAGTCACACAGAATTTGATATGTATTTTCGTCAGAATTGGCTAAATTGTAAAGAACAATGGATATTTTATATGAGAAAAAATATAACAACATTGTTGAACAATACAAATAATCGAATTGAAAGTTTTTATGCGTATGTAAAACGAACATTTCGTCAACGGAATTGTATCCCTCATATGGGAGAGGCTATTGAAATATTAATGAAGATGTTACATTTAAAATCAGACACTCAGCAGTATCGAAACTTTACACAATCATTGACTGTTTATCAAAAAAATTATAATCATAATCATCAAGAATTTTTAAATTATTGTGGTCGTGTATTATCTGACAAGGCATGTGATTTAATTAATAATGAATTAATCAAGATGGATACCGGAACGTTCGTTATTGATGAAGAAGAGGATAAAGAAAATGACAACATTATTATCACCAATTCCACAACAACACGAACATATGAAACAAAGCCGAATAAACTAATATGTTCTTGTTATTTTAATTCAACCACATCGTTACCATGTTGTCACATTCTGATGTACTTGAAAAAAAACGACGGTCTGAATTCTATAAATGAAAATTTAATTCAACAACGATGGTTGAGAAATATGACGATTCATTCAGATGCTATACCCGTTGTATTTGACGATTATTCAAACAATTTAAACGAAATAACTTTGAATGATTCCACGGATTTTAATATGACAAAAGTATTAACAGTTGGTGAAAAACATAAAGAAGCTTGGGAAGTATTTAATCAAATTCAATCGTATTTAACAACATTGGGAACAGACGACTTTTATCAGCGTTTAAGTGAAATTAAAGAACTGCACACTAAATGGACAAAAAATAAAAGGTAAGACTTTTCTTCTTCTCAACCACACACCACGACCACGAACTTGCAATCCTGATCGGCTGAACGAAAATTAGTCTTTGAAAAGTATTGACAAAAACCGATCTACTCACATTTCCAACTTCCCCGAGGCTAATCAATCAAATAATTTTAAAGAGGTTGCTTCATCCTTGTATTCCTTGGTTTTTCTTGAAATGATTGAACTTTAAGCAGCACACAATGATGAGACAAATATGCACAAAACCCAGCAAGATTATAGCGAAGTACGTTTATTCTACGAAGTAGTACACAAACACGCAAAAAATAGAATGCAACACAGACTAATCATCCTTTTATTTTGGACAAAACAAGATAACATAAGCAGAAAGAAAACTAAAATAAAGTTCTATATTTTCTTTTACGTAGTAAATAGAAGTGCCACCTCTAGGTCGTACTCGTCCGTCTTTAGAGCACATACAGAAAAAAATCAATAACGATAACAACAGGTTTGGACTAAAAGTTTTTTGTAAAAAAGAAAATCAGTGATGAAGCACAAATAACACCATAACAATGTTGTTTCATTTCGTTGACTGTTCATTTGATGTCGTTTGTGGGTGAATTATATTTTAAATCGAAAGTTTTTTGACGACTTCTTGTCTGCCTGAATTAACGAACGATATTTAGGTATGGTAGCGTTATACGTAAAAGATTAAATCCATCGTTGCGAAGATTCTACTTACATGACACATCGTTTCTCTTCTTTTTTCTTGACAAAATTTTCTTTTGCAACACGTTTTCTGAAAAGATAAATACCGAAAAAGCTTTCTAATGTACTGAACAGATATTTCAACGAAATCGTTGTAAATAATACCTTTTATTTAAATCATCTCGAAGAACACTATTTGATTTCTGTGCCAATTCGAATGCTGATGAACGTGGTGGAGTCAATGTTGTTGAAGCATTTATATCCGTTTTGTTAACAATTTTTTGACTGTTTGTCAAAATGTTTTTGGATTTGTCAATTGTCTCTATTGTTGATAGTTGAACTTCTAAAATAACGAGGCGGTATAACAAAAAATGAAGTTATTATTGATTAAAGGAGAAGACCATATGTCTGGTATATAACAAGGATCAAAGATTTTGTCTCACGTTCTAAATGAAGTCTATATTTTATGTTACCTGACGACAATTGCTTTTTTTCATTTTTTTTTAAAATCAAATTGACGTGTGATTCTAAAACTCTCAATGTTGACGGCTTTAATCGCTCAAAATCAATATCAATTTCGTTTGAATTCGAATCGATTAACGACGGCTCAATTTTGCGAAGTAACTGAGAAGTAAAGCAAAATCACATTGTATTGCGTAGTTAAAAAGTAAAATTGCACATAGTCTTTTATTAATAACATACTTTTACAACATCATTTAACATTTCATTGGGTATACTTGTAATTGCACGGCTTAATTGGAATTTTTCATTATTTGACATTGGTTTATCTTGATCATTTGATTCATCATCGTTAGTTTGATTTAAATCATTTCTAAATACAGTAGGCAAAAGAGATGTTTTATCTTTTCCTGCTCATACACGCAGCACTTTACACCACCACATTACCGTGGTGAACAATGAAAAACCTGTTCTAGATACTTACGAAATATCCATCTCATTTTTTTCTTTAAATATTCGTCCATTAGTGAGGGCAATGGCAGGCATTGCGACCGGCATTATAACTGCCGGAAGTTGATTTCTGAAAGAGAAGAGAAATGTTACATATGTAACTCTAACAGTTTGCTGGTCATAGATAGTTAGTATTTCTCGATAAACTTGTTCTCTTTCAAAAAGGAATGAAATGTACTTAGACCTTTACGCACTAAAGATAGTAAAAAAATTAAAGAGACCAGCAGAATTATTTATTGGTCAAAATAAGGGTCAATTATATTGGTCCATGTTTTAATGTTGCCGTGCTGGCCGTTTGAATTGCCGCTTTCCTCTACCATCATTGTGGTGGAATTCATAGCAACATACACTACAAGAGGACACTAGCTCAGCGAAGCACAAAATGCATACAGGTCTAAGTAGAGAAGTCGTGTATTTGATGACGTCGTACTTTAAAATTTAAACTTTTCCTCTCCTTGTAAGACAAATTTATTTCTCGCATTCTAAGTGTTTTGGACACAAATGACTGACAGTGCGCATGCAAAACATACTTTGGTGGTTTCCTTGATGATGGTGGAAATTGTCCATTGAATGCTGAATTGTACGGCCATACTTTATCATCGCTGAATAACGAGAAAAAGATATGACAGTTTATCGAAAGTGGAAGAAAAGGTTCACTTCTTCTTTACAACTCACAGTAAGCATTTCCAATAATTGACTCTTTCATCAGCTATACCAATTTTTTGAGTTTTCAATAATTCGAAAAATTTTCTTGTCAATAAAAATTCATCATGCTTTTTGACATAATCAAAATCGGCGTCAATTAAATGATGTATTTCTTCATCATTTTTCAACAGGATTATATAATCATCTAAAACGATATCATGAGTCCTGTTAAATCTAAGGAGCAAGGCTAATTCTAAATACTTGGATTTTTTTTGCTTATCCAACATAAACGTTCGTTTCCTGTTGACAATATCGCATACTGGTATTTGTATGACCCGGTCGATGGATAATCACAAGCTGGTTTTGAAGGGGTAAGAACCACTCCTTCTAGCCAATCAGCAATTCCTTTTCGGAGTGTCCAATGTACGCCTTCATAAGTATTTGAATAACTTTTCATATATGCGCTACGCGCCCAATCAATAAATTCATTATTTTTATTAGCATTAAAATGAGGATGAAATAATAGATCGAATGTTTTTTTGTCCATCTAAAAGAATATTACAATAGAAATACAAAACAATCTGACTGTCTCACACTATTAGTAAAAAAGCGTGTATACGTCCAGGAAACTATCTTTAACTAAATACTCAATTTTCAAGCACTGCTTGACTATAGTCATCATCTTTCACTGCATTGCTTCACCGTGTTTTCCTGTTTCTACAGCATCGCTTGACCACTTTTCTTTTATATTAAAGCATTGCTCGATAACACTATTTTCTATTTGTGCATTGCTTGACTATTCTTATTATGCATTGAAGCAGTACTTGACCATTATTTTCTGTTCTAAAACGTTGCTTCAATACGGCTATTGTATTCAACCACTGATGAGTACTAATTGAAAAATTTTTTATGTATTTTAGGGTGACTT